GAATTTTTGCATCTATGTTCATTAAGGACATGGGTCTATAGTTTTCTTTTTTGGTTGTATCTTTACCAGGCTTTGGTATGAGAGGGATGCTGGCTTCATAGAAGGAATTTGGAAGTTTTCCCTCCATTTCTATTTTTTTGAATAAATTAAGTAGTATTGGATGAAGATCTTCTTTAAATGTCTGATAGAATTCTGCTGTAAATACATCTGGTCCTGGCCTTTTTTAGTCGGGAGGTTTTGTATTACTTTTCCATTTCTTTTTGTGTTATGGGTCTGCTTAAGCTGTTAATCTCTTCTTAGTTTAATTTTGGTGGTTCCCACACCTTTAGATATCCATCCATTGCTTTAGGTTTTCAAATTTAGTAGCATATAGGTTTTTAAAGTATTCACTTATAATGTTCTGTATCTTTCTGGTGTCTGTTGTGATGTTTCCCCTTTCATCTCTGATTTTGTTGATTTGGAGGTGCTCCTTCTTTCTTTTGGTTAACTGGGCTAGTGGTCTGTCAGTCTCATTTATCTTTTCAAAGAACCAGCTCTTGGAATTCTTGATTATGTGTATTGTTTTCGTTGTTTCAATTTCATTAATTTCTGCCCTGATGTTTGTTATTTCTTCTTGGTGCTGGGTTTGGGTTTTGTTTGCTGTTGCTTTTCAAGTGTCTTGTTGCAATGTTAAGTCATTTATTTGTGTTCTTTCTGATTTTTTGATGTAGGCACTTAGAGCTATAAACTTCCCTCTAAGGACCACTTTTAGCATGTCTCAGAGGTTTTGTCGCATTATCCACTCATCAATTGAGGGACACTTAGGTTGCTTCCTTCTCTTAGCCATTGTAAAAAGAGCAGCAACAAACATGGATATAAACCCCAACTAGAGCCCTTATACTCTGATATCCCTGCTACTGTCTGCAGTGTTGTCTGAACCCCCAGCCATTCCCGACTACTTGCCCTTCTGGTGAATCTAGTCAGCCTATCTAGGGGTCTTTGTTTTAGGAGGGTTAGCTGTTCTTCGTCTAGTGGTAATCAATTGTCAATATTCCTTTGGATAAGATTTGGGTCTGAGGTGTTGATTGTAAGCTTTATTGCATTGTGGTCTGATAGAATGGATGGAATTCTTTCAATCTTTTTGTACTTGTTGACATTTGTTTTGTGCCTCAGTATATGGTCGATTTTGGAGAAGGTTCCATGGGGTGCTGAGTAGAAAGTATGTCCTCTGGTGCTTGGGTGGAATACTCGGTAAATGTCTGTTAAGTCCATTTGATATATGGTATTGTTTAATTCAGATGTCTCTTTGTTAACTTTCTGCCCTGTTGACCTATCTGATGGAGACAGTGGGGTATTGGCTCTTTGGTCCATCTTTTAATTGGGTTACTTCTTGTCTTTATTCTCAGTTCGTTGAGTTCATTATATATTCTGGTTATTAAACCTCTGTCAGATGTGTCGCTGGTGAAGATTTATTTTCTCCCATTCTGTGTGTTTTCTGTTTGCTTCCTTGGTTGTCCCCTTTGATGTACAGAAGCTTTTTAGTTTAATGAGGTCCCATTTGTTGACTCTTGCCCTTGTTTCCCCCTCCACTTTGGAGACTGGACACTGGTTCAAGTCCATTTGGTGGGGTCTCCACGGCCTCCTTGATCAAGAGGACAAGTGACCCACCACCATTATAGATAGGTGTTTCCCAATGTTTTCTTCTAATAGTTTCAGAGTTTCAGGCTTTAAAGTGAGGTCTTTGAGCCATTTGGAGTTGAATTTTGTGTAGTT